GGCGGTTCCAGCTGAAATTTGTCATGAATTGATGTCCTTAATGAAGAAACGGATATTTTCGTCCCAATCATTCCTAACGTCTACAGTCGAATCTCCCGTAAGCGGACACTCTTGGAAAGCGAAAAAAAGTGTCCGCGATTAGACATGTCCGTCTAATAAAAAGGGATGTCATTAAACGGTAAAACAACGTCAGATATTCTTGTTTAATATTTAGGTGTAATCGTATAGACCACCTATGATCTTTTGGCTGACAATTTTTTAAAAAGAGCGATCAACACTGCAAAGGTTGTTATAACGGGAAAGCGCACTAACAGAGGAGAATGCTTTGGATTAGAAGTGCCATATCATTATCACTTTGGTGGGTGGTCTAGCGGTTGATCTACTGGCCTCTCACTGCTGTGCTCCAGTTTCGATTCCCGGGCACGGACCATATGTGAGTTTGATTTTGTTTGATGTGTTGTTCTCTCCCTTGCCACGAGGATTTTTTTCGGTTTTCCTCCGGTGTTCCTCCCTCAGTAAAAATCAACATGTGAGGAGTGTTGTGTGCTAAAATACTTAATGTAGAGGTAGTGAGTGTGAGAGTACATGGTCCGCAGTAATTGGTGCAAGCTGTTGCGGTGTTCCTGCACAAACAAGGGGCAAGCTAATAAATTTAAAAAAAGCTTTATCGGCGATGACTTTTCGATAAAATGGCTCAAATCCTAAATACATAAAGGCTATAACGCGTAATTCAGCTATAATTAGTTCATTATCATTCACAAGCTGGTTAAAGTGATAACTTATCATTAATCTTAGAAATAGACCAAATAAAAGTTATAGATTTTAAGTGTTTGCTTACGAGAAATTGAAAACAATAAAAAAGGTCACTTGGGAATCGCTGAAAGTGTTCGCGTCTGCTTACTAGAAAGTCCGCTAATACAAAGTACAAATACAGTGTTTGTATGGGAGGAAAACCGGGGTTTTGAAAAACTGTCCGTAAGTAGAACTGTTCGCTTACGGGGGCGTCCGAAAGTAGAGCTTCGACTGCATTTCAATTGTTCTAGTTTCCCCAAGTAATTGACATAACAATTATAGAAAAACGTGTTTGGGACGACAATATTTGTTTCATAAATACATAACAAATTTCAGCTCGAAACGCCCATGTATCGATTAGCTGTCAATAGAGAGGAAGTCGGAAAGTCGTCAGAATTCTTACTGATCTTGCGTAAAATCCAAAACACATATTAATTTCCATGTATTTCCATTAATTTCTTACTATGTAATTCAATAAAAACAGTTTAGCAGTTAGCAGGGCTCTAGCACTGGCAAACAGACAGTATCTTGTAATAATAAGCTGATGAACTAGAATATCAAAATATCGTAACGATGGTTAAAACAGCTATGAACTGTAATTACCCGATGTCTTAAATTCACAGGGCTATACTACTTGCAACAGTGAAAAAAGAAATATTTGACAATTAAAAAACCCTGCAGATGTCTACTGATGTACAACAGTGAGCTAATTTGCATATTAGAAAATCATTGTGTATTTAACAATTTGACCACGATTCTGAGTTCACTATGGCTTGATAGCACTTGACCAAAGTCCACAATTATTCTGAAATTTGTTCATGAAATTGAATAAACAATGACATAAATCACAAACTGAACACCACAAAAAATAGTACTTTGCTTTTAAATTTATTTTTGTCTTATTCTATGTTTCTATCTTTTAAACTTTACATAATAATCAAACAGTAATTTACTACCAAGCGATATGGGAAAATACATGGAAATGTACTGACTAGAAAGAAATGGCTTTTATACTAATACA